TGTGTGTGTGTATTTAATGCGCTGGTGGTTGTGTGTATAATCCATCTGCTAGCTTTCTTTGCAGTGTTTTCCGGGACCTGTGTGTTTCTGTCCTTTTCTAGGGTAGGTCCTCCGTGAGCACCCCCTCTGTTGGATTCAGAAACCTGGTGCTCGACTTGCAGTGTTTACTTCACTTGTCGATATGATGTCCAGCCGGTATGATAGCCTGGTTTCGGCTTCATGCTTCCTGGATCATGCGACCAGGTCACAGGCTTCTGCGGGAGCCTTCTTGATCATCAGGCCCCCGGCACTGCACTGCAAAATTTCCTGGACGTCCGGGCTGGGCTTATGCTTTATAGTATAGATACTATAAAGCATAAGATAAGATAATATAAGATAATAGTATACCGTATACACTGTATACATAGTTCATCGTTCAATAAGTCATGATCAATACGTAATGGCAACATACAGTAGACTATGTTTTTTTCCCCATTACATTTAACTCACAAAATAATTTAACACATTTCAACTTAGATTTTCAGTTTAATATAATTTAAGCTGAAATTACTTGTATTTTATTTATTTGTTTAATGTTTTATTTGTTAGGGACAGATACAATAAACATAGATGAAAATGTAAAAACAATCATCCCATGCATGTACCATAGTGCTTGTAGCCGAAGCTAATTTGCAACACTTGTACAGCAAGTTTGATAATAAAAGTATGAGGAAGCAACTAAAGGCAATTAAAAACTAAAGGTTTTTAAGTTGAAGTTGGTGGAAATGTGTTACAGTGTAATCATGGTTGTATAGAATGGTTAAAAAGGCTTTTAAAGATCTGTCTAGTGAACACCGTGTATCAGAGGGTAAATCTACTGCAGACATGTAAATAAATGTCCTGAAATGGTGTTAAGTTCAAGTTCTGTTGGGAAAAAAAATCTTTACATTTATGTGGCTTGTTGATTAAAAACTCAAATCCACTCTCTGCAGTGGCGACTCGTCGGGGGAGGCAGGGGAGGCACAGCTTCCCGATAATTTTGAGGTGAAAATGGAAGGAGGACGATTTAATGTTAATAAAATTCACAATTCATTTCAGTTCATGTCTCAGAATGTGTATTTTTTGTTTGTAATTTCACAGTTGTAATAAAATAATGTGAAAGCGCCGCTTTTCTATCGCGAATGTGCCGAATCTGCTGATGTAATTACAACCGCTAAATGATAGAGAAGGGGAGGGGGAGGTCGTCGTTTTCTTTACGTTTTCTGACTAAAAGCAACCGAAAAGCCATTTTAAAGTGGTTAAGCAAATAATAATAATAATCGGCAGGGATCCCAGACCAATACAATTAGTGTGCCTCCTCTATTTTAAAACCCACGAGCCGCCACTGACTCTCTGTCTATCTGTCTGTCTGTGTGTCTTTATCTATCTGTTTCATTAGCAGCAAGGATGTCGATGTGACCCCCTTCTTTCCATCTTACGTCATTTCTGGGAAAGGTTACACTGGAGCCATTCAAAATTGTGTAGACAAAGCGTCCTTGAGGAAATCATCTTCACCATGCTTTGAAGGCCTGAAAAAGACTGAAAAAACAAAAAAACAAAACTTGGACTTAAGCTATACGGTTTTTTTTTGTTTTTTTTGGACGATACTGAGGCACATCACCTAGTCCATGGAGATTTTGCATGTGACCAACAGCCTTAATTGTCACAGTCTAATAAGTCATCATCTTAGTTAAAGGAATAAATAATACACATTGCATATACTGTATGTGCCACATAGAGCAGGGTGTGTTGCTTTAATACAGCTTTCTTTGAGAGGTTTTAATTTTCTTTTTGATTCAGGCCATCTCGAACTGGCTGGAGTCCTGTATGTATGTCTCTGCTAGAGACATGTCTTTAGATCAGGGATAGGCAACATCGGTCCTGGAGTGCCACTGTCCTGCAGAGTTTAGCTCCAACCCTGAAAAAAAAAACTCACCTGCCTGTAGCTTTAGTGATCCTAAAGACATTGATTAGCTTGTTCAGGTGTGTTTGATTAGGGTTGATGCGAAACTCTGCAGGACAACGGCACTCCAGGACCGACGTTGCCTATCCCTGCTTTGGATTGTAGGTAATAAGTATGTGAGAAGCACATACACTCAGGCTAAATACTCGCTGTGAATGTAGGGTTGGCAGTGATCTCAGGATTAGGGTTGGGAAGAGTGCAGTAGCTGAACTGTACTGAGTTTGTCCATCCCAGAGCATCTCTCCGTCCCATCAATTGTCTCTTTTTCTGTTGACTCTCGTTCACTCGTTACAAGCGCACAATGCTCATATGAGAATGATTGCTTTCTTGTAGCATGCCCAGATTTTTTTCTCTTTTGAGCAAACGTTGCTCTTCTTTCTTTCTTTTTAACCCGACCCATTAATGTCTAATTTTGTTTTCAGCTTGTAACAAGTTTGTGTGCATTTTTTAAATGCTTCACTAAGGTCTTTTATTAGAGGTAATATGCAAGCAGTCACACTTTCATGTGTAATGAGTGTCAGTACAGTTATTCCTGGCAGGTGTAACAGATGCATTTCAAAGCATTCGACATGCCCTTCTCAGAACAATGGGCTTCATTTCCCCCAAGTCTCTTAGACAAACATCGGTCAAGTTTCCCTTGACTGAGCAGCCACTGGAAAAAAAGACTCGTCATTTTACAGGAATGAGAATTGTTGTAACTACTTAAGGATCGATGTGATGTGCATGAGTTGTGAAGAAGAAACCCAGCGACAGAGTGAACATCATTATCCGAGTACTGATTTTGTTTTACTCCTCTGCTCACTTAAAAAAGTGAAGTCCTCTTAAAGTCCATGCAAATGTCTGGCAAGACAGTGAAATTCCTCTTGGACGAGAGAGTGGGAAAGTGAGTCTCTCCCTGTCTCTCCTGTTCTCTCTCGTCCTTCTCTTCCCTCCCCTCTCTCCTGACTTTCCTCCCTGCATGTCTCTTTCTATTTCTCTCTCTCGTTCTCACTCTCTTTCTTTCTCTGGCAGCACTCAGCTTTTTTGGCAGGAATGACCAGAATAAAAACAGCAACACCAGACATAGAAGAGAAAAAAGTGCAATGATCCATCGAACCAAAGGCTTTGCCCTTTCCTAATTACGTCGTGTCCAGTATCATTTTCTTTTTTCCTCCCCTCTTCATTTTTTGAGACATTTTTGAAGTGGTAATTAGCTCTTAGAGAATAAAACCAGCTGATTCGGGGAGGGCCAGTGCATTTTGGGGCGAGATGGCTAACAGGAGGGTTGCGTTGCTCCTTCTCGGATTCTTCCTCACCATACAGCTGAGTCCTTCGCTGCAAGGAGGTAGGTGTGCACTTTGATGGCTTGTATAGGAGATCCTGGGAAGCATTACTGGCATAGAAGGGACACTGTGGGCTTCACAAGTGCTTTTTTTCTGCACATTTTGTAGAAACCTGAAGTGTGCACTGTGCAGAAAGTGAAGCTGGAGAACTTGTGCAATCGATGGGCACTGCAGGTGGCCATGTTTACTACTGATTGTAGTCGTGCATTTTCACTGGAGGATACTGATAGGATACTAATAACATGCAAGCAGCCATACATTCAGTGTAATGAGTTTCATTACATTTACCTGTGCCTGGCATGCTGACATGACACAGACGATTACAAAGCAATCTTATACAAGCCCTAAGATGCATAACTAAAAAAAAATGTATTTTTAAATCTATAGTAATTCAGAGGCATCCCTCAGATCTTGAGCATTACCCCATGCATGTTTACTGAGGAATCTGGTCCACATTAATGGGAAACATTCAGTGTGGTGACATTCACATGATCCACATTTGAGTATGTTTTGCTTTTGCCTAACAACATCCAGGTCATTTTTAAACCAAAAGAAGGATGTTTTATTGCTGAGAAGACATTTCTGTGAGTAAATAATGATATGATACAACCGGTGCTTTAGTTAGCTTAAAAAGTCGAAGAAGTCACAGGATTCCCATATTAAACTTTTGTGGTTAATATACATTCACTTCATATACTTTTGTGGTTAATATGCATTCAAATGCTTGTTTAGGTGGTTTACACCATCAAGTTAAACTGCAGCGTCCAGTCTTTTGCAATCAAATTCAAAGAATTCAAGCTTGCAAATACTGTAGTACGAACTAGCAAATGTCGACTGCAGAGATTTTACAACTAAATATCATAAATGTTAACTCAGATACAGATGTTAGTTTAAGTTCTCCGCAGTCTTGTGCCAGAGTGCTCGACTGGGAATATGAATGTGGTGAGAGCTGTTTCTCTTGAAGGTCATTCCCCTCGATCGTAGAGTGCTTTGCTTAGCTGATGGGGAGGGTTGTGATGAGTTTGTTAATCGAAAACACAGCTCATGCATACTGAATTTCTGAAGACTACAGATGGACTCTTTCTGTCAGCTTGTGTAGACTTGACAAATAAAAAACCTTCCCGGTGGACATCGATGTCCAGTGAGCCGCGCAAGTGCCGCGCTCTGCGCTCTGCTCAGAACATGGCTTTGCAAGTACCAAGGCAAACTGTGGTGTGGAAGACGGAGAAGTCAAAAAATCTCCAACTCATTTTTTGGCCCCATCATTAAATTGCAGTTGTTTTGATGTTCTTGGATGTGCGTCTATGCAATGTTTAGTCATGATTGGAAAGGAAGTGGGGGTCTGTTCCCAGTTTCCAAACAAAGCCAGAGTATTTCACAATGATTTATTTATTTTCACAAAAATACTTTCATCGGCACTTGTTGATGTATGTGTTTCCAGGCTGCTTCTAAAAGAGAGCTCTCTCTGCACCGTCTCACTGATGCTGAATTAATGTATTATGGAGAAATACTGCTCTTGTTGCCTGTGAGGATTTGCAATTGTGATATGTTTTCCATAAAAGCCATCAGGACCGCATCTTAATTTCAGCAGTCTGCTATGTTCATTTTAATAATTGTATTGGAGGCCATAAAACAGCTCAGCTATTTCCTCCATACATCTCAAGCTCCATTACAAATCGTTGGTCTGTACGACTCAGGCCTGTTTGTAGGGCACCTGTGATATTTGCGTGCCGAAAGTGAAAACTGTCAAGGCCGTGAATGGGGAAAGTGTTTTTAAAATTACATTTCACCCTCTCGGCATGCATTTATCTATTCGTCTCCAAGGCCAATGCTAAGCAAAAGGCAACGCTGTTTGTAGGACAGAGCGTATACAAACATTCAGCCTAAAGTCATCTCCCATTACCCCATAGAGAGTTTTTTTCAGTGCTGTGCACAATGAACACATTGCTTTCTGGGTGCATTGTTATCAAATGACCTCTGTACTGGACAGTTACCAAAATTTTCATCTGAAATTCAAAGTTCAGAGCCTGTGAGTCTGTTTGGACGGCTCATGCAGGTGGAATGTTTTCTCTACTGGTGTGAGTGAGTTATGGGGCAGGTGGGAATTTCAGGGCCTTGGGAAGTTACTATGTCACCAGACACGTTGCTGTTACTGTGATGGTTTAAGCAAAGCCTAAATGTCTCTCTTCTTCCATTCCTGCTAAATGGTGACAGTTCTGACATATGGAACAGCCCCGTCGGAGCTTAAGAAATGTCATTTTGGAGCCAAAAGGCTCATATCATAGACTACTTTGACCCCTTGAAAGCTTCATTCAAGGGCACAAGAGCACCCACCGTGAGATTTCATGTTAAACCATATAGTGTTACAAGTATGCAATAAATATTGTTGTTGAGTAATGATCTTGTGGGATCCCAGAGTTGTTTGCTTTATTGGAGCTGGCATTACATCTAGTGTATCTAAACTGTTGATCGATTGTGTAAGCCTCCCTATGCAGTTGGCAGTCACATCATACACAATGGAAAGCCCTCGGTGGAAGTACCAATTATCACATATCAGCTTTCCCTCTCACTCTTCAATACCCTCCTGTGGTAATTTATCACTCAGAAGTCTGTCATACGTGTAAGTGTATGACAGGCAATCATTTTGTGCACGGTATCGGGTAACAGTACCCTTCAAACACCATTGTTGGTTGGCTATTAGTGCAGATGCTTCCGGTATGGCACTGTGTGGCAGACGGGCCCCAGGTCTTGCTCCTGCAGCCAAAATAATTAGGTTGTTTTATGACAACCGCTATTAATGACAAGCAGGCTATGAGAGGAGGGCCAGATGAAAGGAAAGGAAAGCGAGGTCTTGCCTCCTTCTGGTCTTGTAAGAATTAAGAAGCCCTCCTTTCGCACACAAAAACTTGAAATAAGGAGGGCGCATTTTAAAAGGCACCACTTGGCGTAAGTCTTTGGCTCAGAACATCAGAGGAGTTCAATCCATTAGGTCTCCTCCTCATTGACACTCAGCTGGCTCTGCTTGAAGGTGTATGAAATCACCGCCAGATCAGATGGCACACCTCCACCGTCAGATGGGATTATGATAAATTGCCCACCCTCCCCCTCCACGAATTCCCAATCTGATTAGTGACTCCTCCAGAGGTGCTTTATGGCAAATGTGTGCTGGGAGCGCCTCTCTGGACTCCATCCTGGAGATCTTGTTTTCCAGAGCTGGCTGTACTCGCCTGAAAGGAATTAATGTCTCGTGGTATGTCTAGTGGCGTGTTGATTGATTCGAAAGGAGCGTTTGCCATGCTGTCTGCTGACTGGAGTCGCTGTTAACACTGTAATGGCTGTGATAGACAATGCATACGATGCTTTTCATGCACTAAGGCCGGTTTATGTGCTGGTCTAGCTGGTGGCACCAGAACTATGATTTCCACCAGCAAAACTGTACTTGTTAAGGACATCAGCATCTAATGCATATGCTGGAGACCAGCTATATAGTGAGATTTTTTAAGGATAACAGATAGGGCCGGGAAAATAAATCGATGCATCGCGAATCAAGAAATGACATAGATTCTGAGATTTTCCAAATGCATCGCAATTCTTTCTCGAGTGGATCCTGAGCTTAGTTTTGAACAGCAGATGGCGCTGCATGCTTTAGAAACAGCCGTACTCTGCTTGTTTCCAAATCCTTACACACACTTGAACCTAAAATAATCATTCATAAAATTTGAAAAGGTTGAAGCAAATTACAAGGGTGTTCACAGTGGGCTGTGTTTACATTAATTTGGCATCAGAAAAGCATTCTGAGCCGAGGTGAAATTACAGACCAAATGCACAAGCGCTCTTCTTCATGAGCATTTGAGTGTCCGGATAAAAACTAGATTAGAGCGCCATCTGCTGTTACAATCTGCACTCAGAATCAATTCCAGAGAAAACTGCAATGCATTCAGAAGATCTCAGAATCGACCCACGAATCGATTCTGCATCAATTTATCATTGCAGCCCTAATAACAGATGCACAGCACAGAAAGTAGCAGAGCAGGTCTGAGCAAAACCATAGTTCAACATATGAATCTTACCCATCCCATCTGAACCTCTGGGTCTGGTAACCTGAAATACCTCCCATGTTTCCTGCTCTCCAGTTAGCTATCCAGCATATGCACTTGTTGACTGATGTGATACGCTCTAAGTGGCCTTGTATAGAGAGAATAGTGCAGGCCTGCAGAGAGAAGGCCTCTCTAGAGCGCTTTATTATGACCTCAGCTCTCAACACCACGCTCTATTGGGCTCCTGCAGTGCTGGCAGTGGCTCTGTAGGAATGCTAGCAAAGATAAGCGGCTTCATTTAGCTACATTAATTTATACCTCCCCCTCATTCACAGTCTGAGGCCGCTAACAGATCTGACAGTTTATCTCCCGTATCTTTGGCATTTTGAAACACAGCTCACTTGCCACACATTCATATAGCCAGCAGTCGCCGGCCCATCACAGGATGGCATTGCTGGGAAATCACCAGATATTAAGGCTGGTCTGCTTAATGCAAGCTGTTGCGGACCGTATGTAATGTGAGTTTCAATTTAAAATCAGGCTCTTTAGAGTGCTCTTCAGTTTGGCCCAGTCTTATTTAGGTTTTGTTTACACATATGGATGGGAGTGCTTAGCATGCTTATCTCTGTTCATAGTGGTGTTAACAGCAATTCAAGCGGGTTAATGACAGCTTCAATGGTCTTATTTACAATAAAAGCAATTGTGTCTGATAAAGCTGTTCACCTCTTCATAATACAGCTCTTATGTCCTAAAACTGTATAGAACCGATACTCGATGTTACAGCACATTAGAATGTTATTTGCTCTATAACCACAAATTCCAGTGAGGGTAAATGTCAAAGTGAGAGTCCTGTCTACTTCCACTGAGAGAAGACGGAGCCAAGATTTAAACAAAGACCTGCACTTAAACCAGATCATTTGTTCCGAAACCAGCCCGGATAGCTGTCATACCAGCCAACGTCAGAG